TGGAAAGTGGCCACGTCGTCTGCTAGCACACGCGGAACCATGGGACAGCACCATGCTCCATAGCCAATCTCCAAGACGTCGCGGTGGCGTGTACTGGTGTTGTGGTCGGCCCAAGCCAAACGTGCGGCACCGTACGGCTGCGGCCTCACAAACGTACGACCCCGGAAGAGTGCAAAAAAGTGCCTCCGGTACCGCCACCGAAGAATCCATATGCTAGGCTATGCGACGTGCCTGTATAGCCGAGTGGTTGAAATAATCGCCTTCAGATAAGGGCTACGCGGAATCGAATACCGTCTCGCAAAATCTTTTCCCTCTGGAATTCATGTCGCCCTCTACTTCTAGTTTTTCTTACTCTGTCTCGGCAATCGATGTCTCACCCATCAATTTTTCTCCATTCTGCGCTAGAAAATTCAGCGTACGGGTTCCAGGAGCGAAGCAGACGGATACGACAAAATTAATGTGAAAAGAGCACATGCCGGCTCATGACGATGATAGTTTTCCCTTTTCAAAGTAGTAACGCGTCGCTTAAACAGCTCCTCTGTTAAAAGTCAATGGGTGGGCATCACATTTTATCGTGAAGAGGGCACTTTTCACTTTCGCGTGTTAGGGAATGCAAGGTATGAAAACGAGTGGTATCTACAGGTGGTGGCAACGGTCTACTGCGCCAATGCGTTGACAGCGCCCAAGTGGCGACCTGCAGCCACCGCTTACAAGATATTGTAGCAACCATCAATAAACGTGTTATTAGAAATACTCCATGGAACTGACCAACGGTGTATTGAAAGACGTTGGACCTTCGTTTATACTGTTTACCAACAATATTATCGAATAATGGCTACCGATAACCTTTAGAGATTTCAAAAATAATGCTCCATAGACATTGAATCAACTTGCTGAAGACGGTATAAGAAAGGCTTTCTAGCGCTGTATCGGCCATCTTCGAACAGATTGGCCAACAATCTATCGACCATCGCGCACCAATAACCACTAAAGATTTCCTTAATAGCGTTCAATATACAATAAATGAACGTAACTAAGACACCATAAAATAAGGTTTCCCACCGCTGTTTGGACCATCCACAAACCATTTACCCAACAGTCTGTCGACTATGCATCACCGATAATCAAAAGAAATCTTTTTATTAGCGTTCAAGAGACGCTCAAAGAAGGATAAATAAATGTTGCTAAGCTGTTTTGCAAGCATACTATATACCTGTTAACAGTATTCCTCTACTATTGGTTACTACATTGTTATTGACGTGTCTTGCCTAATGAGGATTATTCTTGCTTTGGACAACGGTCGAATGCAAAGGCAGGCATTTTTACGCTCAATAGTTCAGTCACCTTTGTTTGCATTAAAGGATTTTACCTTCAATTGGCCTCTCAGAGCGTAGCCTAAAAGCTTCAGTAAAGTGCACAAAAAGCTTCTTACACGGTATTGTTTAAATGCACCACATTCTTAACCTTGTGTTAGAGACAAACATCATGGTGAGGCAACATAAAAAATGAATTAAGTGCCTCTGCTTCTACTATCGAAGTATAACAGGCCTACAAGAATTAAAAGGAAATGAATATATTGTAGGCCAATAAACAATTTTGTTGATGTGAAAAAAGTGGAAAAAATCTTACTGACTAGCGCCACCCCAGCCACGGAAACGGAGCCAGCCAGCGCGGATTTATTCCTTGAACTGTTACAAGCATTTACGACGCTCTTGACTGACACAGGTTGATTTTTTTGTAGTTCTTGCTCCACCAAGGGCGCTCCATGCCCTTTTGCTCTTCATCAGTGCTCCAGGAACTGGTTCTGTCGTGGTTTGGCAGTCCTGGCTACTGCAGCTTGATTTTCTCTTTTCTCGCTCCTTGCTGCGGAGTCTTCATGCCAATTCGATCTCTCTTACTGGTCTGCTAAGTGGCCCTGTTGACTAAAAGAATGCATTAAACTCTCGAGCAGAGGCGGTAGAAAATCGCCTCCGGCCCCCCCTCCTCGAGTTTCTCTTTTCTCTCTCCCCTCGTCTTTTTCCCTCCCTTTCTTGCCCCCCTCTTGTTGTTGGGTTCTCATTGTTTTGCCATGATACTTTTCCCAGATATCCTTGCTTCTGTCTAATGTATTCGTTTTCTTATTGATGTTCAAAGGATATAACTGTGTGTTGAAACTTTTAGGAACATGGTTGGGTATCCTCCTATTGCTCGGGTTTATTTCCTTGAATTAAATTGATTATTCCTCATATGTACACCCAAACTGCGGATTTTAGGCGGCAAGAGTCAAGGCAATGTTATCAAACTGCAGAGACTTTCCTGGGTCTTTTGTTTTCTTTATAATATGAAATGGTTAAGGAACCTATTTCAAATTTTCAGTTTCCTCGTTCCCGCTTCTGCATGAGAGATCAAATAGTGTAGACTTTGAAATATGGTGCTCTTAGAGAAGATATGCGAGAGGGGTATTGAGTGAAAAAAAAAAGAAAAAAAAGATGGTCGGAGGGGGAGGGGGTTTGCTTTTCCTCCACTCTCCCTCAATCCAATCTATAGGACTTCCTTGATCCGTTCTTAAATTATGCCACCGGGGGGTGACTGCGCACTGCTACCCAATGGTAGCAAGGTGGATATTCTAGGCTTAAGTAGGAATCAGGAATGCGTTGACACAGGAGAAAACTCCGTCTCGCCGGGCCATTCTTCTGGTAGCATCGGTTGTGGATTGACGTACATGTTTCAGAACTTGCCTTGTTATGGCGTTTTTCTGGTAGGTGTTAACCTTTATTTCGATATTGCGTAGGGCTGGGATCCACTATGTGGACTGAAAGTCCCAGATTGACCATCAACCCCGCTTATTTGTAAGGTGACAGCTTGGGTTTGTGATCAAAGAGGTGGGCCCTCAGGGTCCAATCTACCAACAACCCGAATAAGGCGTAGGACTGTTGTCATCGTCTGATTCCTCCTTCAATGGTTGAAGTGCTGGACCATCTGGTGCATCATTGACCCCTCCCGACAACGAAATTGACCGATGGATGACCATTTTAACGTGCTTCATAAGTGAATTTCATCCAACTAATTCTCTTGAGCACTACTTGTCCTTTTTATATTTGTAAAACATATCGTATTAATTTTGACTATTTCTTTTAGCGTTTCATACTCTCTAGTAGTAGCAGGTGTGAGAGATGAAATGGCAATATACGCCACGTTTCATTCAATTACTCATTTCGATTTCGTTTCATTTCGAGTCTACTAAATTGGCGATTTTACGGCATAGCAGCGCAGCCGGACACTGTAGTAAAATCCTTGGTTCAGGCTGGTTAAATGCATTGGAATGCGTGTGTTCGTTCCTCGACGTTTAAAATGTTCAGTTCACGTTGAAGCGAGTTCAAAGACATATTCGCACACGCTGAGAGAATACATGTGTACTTCATGTTTAAGCTCAGACAAACATGGGCACACTCCAGCGATTACATTACATGTAAATGTGCCAGCTTGTGTTGTTTTTGCAGCCTGTTTATTCTTTTAGAACTCCGTTTCTACTGTGCAAGAAGAAAATTACGCATGAAAAAACAACAAAAAAAACAGGTCAATGAGACAACAAGAATGCGGTGCAATGACCTCTCGTGCGAATTCTTTCACCGGAAATCCTTGATAAAGTTGTTCGGATCCATCCATAACGCTATTTCGTGTGAGTCATGTATGTCATGCAGATATTACCGGGTTAAAGGCACTGGTAACACGTGTTTTAAGAACAAGATTCAAAGTAGAGCACCCATTATGTGAGATATTGGCATCAAACAGCTGTGACACCATGACTCAGAAAGGTAATATTATGCTAGCAGACACATGTGGCAACACACTGAGGCTCATCGAGACTCTGGTCAAGCTGTGCATCTGTGTTTGGTTGGTCTCAGCAATAAGTTGGCGAGTTTGATTTCAAGTGAATGCCCTGGAGAAAAAAACGTTGTCACTTCAAGTTCGAGGAAAAATTTTTGGCGAGTCTGAATCGGAGCAAGTGCCCAGAGCAAAATATATCTTTCGAGCGAGTCTAAGCAAGCTCCAATACTCTGGCTGGCTTCTCATTCTACGTTTATCTGTATATTTGTTGCTAAATTGCTGCTGTGCATTTTGTTTATGCTTTAAGTACTCCTAAACGTTGACCTTCTAATGTGACATGAAACATTTTTTGCATTTAGTGTCCTTTTATTTCAAGGAGCACAAGTCTAACTGTAGGTTAAGAGAGGCAAGCATAATTCACCCTTCAATTATATTGCATATTGCAGTGCGTATTTGTGAAATGTTAAGTAAAAATATTTGTCAGTAATGAATTCAACAATGACGCACTGGGTACAGCTTGTTCTTCAGCACCGAGCTGGCTGTTGCCTTATGCTGTGTCTGCTTTTATCATTAAGTAAGCTATGAACATGAATACTTCTAGTAAACTCATAAGTGTGCCTCGCAAAAGCAGCAAGCATCGTAAAAAAGAATGGCTACTGCTTTCTCACTTATGGTTACTGCTAAAATATGAATACCTCTTTGTTATATTTGGCACTGTTCACCGTTTTGGAATAGAGCCTGGTCCAGAAAGAGAAATGTCCATGTTTATGTATCAATCACTCGTCACTGTAACTGCCACTGTGACGTGCACTCCTAGACTGCTAAGAACGTCATTTGTTATTTTGAGTTAGCTTATTCCCCGCCTGGCATAAAATGATTCAACTTTTTTAGAGTTTTGAAAGACACAGTGAGTAACTCTGCTTCCTGTTATGGTACGAGTAAAAAGCAAAGTGCCCTCCACTGCGGGTGATGCAGACAGTAGCGTAATCCAGTGCCAGAACAGCTAGAAGGCAAGTGAGAATGTTTCTTTTTGTCACGCTTGTTGTTTATTCATGTGTCTCGGCTGTCCATGCCAAAGAAAAGAGAAAGCACAATGTTTTTTACTAAGATCATATCTGAAAACTGTACTTACGCATAAATGCCATTAACAGCTGCTTCATCTGTTCTTTTGTTATTTTTTAGGCCATGCACTACAAAGGTGCTCCACTGAAGAATCGCTGGGGCTTCATAGAAGACGCGAGACGACAAATTTGTCGGCCATCTAAGCTCCAGCAGGAGCACTACTCTGGGCACAAGCGCTTCCATTGCCAGAAGATCAGGCTGTTATGTGCGCCAATAACATTATTTGCTAGCTAGATAGCCCAATCAGGGAACGGCGTCATGATGCTGGTAAGTGCTGCGAGTAAGATTTGCCTTTACAGAAACTCTGCTTGTAGCTGGTAAATGGCAAATTGTCGTGTCACAAACTTACCTAGGTCACAGCTCACGTGCTAAGATCCTAGCTGAACAGTGAGCTTTTGGTGTAGTGTTATTGTTATTTGTCCAGGGCAGTATAATGTCAGCATAGTGAGATCATATTTTTGACTTGCAGAGTGCAGGCAGCTATCCTGTGAATAGATATTGCTAAGATCACTGTTAGTGCATAAGGAAGCCTCTGTCCACAAGCACATAGAACACAGTTTCAGTTTTAGGACAGTCGCTGAAGGAAGCAACCGCAGTAGGTAGGTAGTTGCGATTGCCACCACTCCCCATGCATTGAGAATAAATTACTAATAATATACCACTCACTTGACTTAGTTCTGAGAAATCTTTTTCAACAATATCGATAAATAAGTCGCCTCATCTAAAAGCCATCTTAATGTTTGACCGTAAGGCTGAGTGCAACTCCGTAATTTCTTAGTGTACGTGTGTGACCACTGCTTCACAGTCACCTTAAAATAATTGCATTCATGCAAAAACACGTGATGCCGATTGGTCAGTGACATTCCAAAGAGTGTTCATGCACACAGTTGCATGAAGTAAAACTTGCTGAGAAGGAAAGCTACTTAATCTTGCATAATCTTTTTCAACCAAATAATCTGTATATATAGTGAATACCAAGATCTTTTTCAACCTATTGATCTTTAAATACAGTGACTACCAACAATATAAGCGAGGATGTCATTCCGGTCACCAAAGTTTTTGTTTCACCGTACACCAAATTTAGCAATAGTGTGAAAACAGACTTCTCCAATGTGGAATACAGTCGGGAGGTGAATGTTGTGATTTCAACATTAACTCAACAAAACAGGCCACATACAGGTACTATGTTAGCATCAACATTGTTCACTCCACTTGCGCTTAATACTGTGAAACCACTGTTTGGCACTCAAAAAGTTCTTTCGCATTATTTTCTTATACGGTTTACGGTAGTGCAGTTAAATATTCTGATGATTACAGTGCAAGCTAAACATTTCTTTGTTACATGCCATGCAAATAGTCCCACGTAGTAATTTCACTCCTGCCACACAATAATCTAATCAATTGCAGTGTATACTGTTTCTTAAATGCAAGTTAAACACAATAATTTCGATCTGGTAAATTCAACTTCCCAAATTGCTTCAAGATCCTACAATGTGAAAACTTTTCCTCCTTTCTTAGAGCTGGCTTCTAGCAAACTTTGTCACTTGCAGCCATGTGTAATGAACTTCCCAACTTTTCACGTTTTTAGCTGAAATATTAATTGTTTTGCAAGAAAGTTGTCAGATTAGCTTAAATGGCATAGAGTGTCAATTGCAGGTATGCAGCATGTCTGGGAAGAAGACACGGTGTAGAGCCGGCATGGCATTCTCTGCCATTCTTTATAACCATGTTGCAACAAATGGCCACAAAAACTACTGTTGACACTGAACCTTGTGCTAATGCTGTGCACTGACACTCATGCATCGCCCAGTTCTGGCATGAGAAAACGTGTGACACCTTTTGTTTTGTTGCAGGCATCCTGAAAGACACCAGGTTCTACGAAAATATTGTCAAGGTTGCCAGAGGTAACAAATATGTGATTCATGGAGACCCGGTTTACCCATTAAAGCCTCTGCTCCTGAAGCCTTATGGAGGCGCCCGCTTGCAGCTCCACCAGACACACTTCAACAAGTGCATGAGCACTGTACGGCAGGCTGTTGAGTTGGGCATTGGCAAAGTGGCTGCAGACTTCGCATTGTAGACTTTCACAAGAACTTGAAAGAGACGTATAAGAGAGTGGGAAGGATGTATAAGGTTGCTACACTTCTCACCAACTGCCGCAGCTGCCGGTACGACAGCCAGGTGTCTAAGTACTTCGGCCTTGAGCCATCCTCACTAAATGACTATCTATTTTCATTTATATGAAGCAATCTTATGCTTTCTTTTTATTTCTTTTAATTTACTGTATTAATATTTTCTTTATTTACAAGAACATTTGATTTATGCAGAAAGTCTAGTGTCAAATGATGTTATGGTTTTGTATTCAAGTGTGTGCCGTGATATGACAATGATATATTGATATGTCGGGTTTCACGTCCCAAAACCACCATATAAATATGAGAGACGCCGTAGTGGAGGGATCCGGAAATTTCGACCACCTGGGATTCTTTAACGAGCAACCAAATCTAAGCACTCGGGCCTACAACATTTCCGCCTTCATCGGAAATGCAGCCGCCGTGGCCGGGTCTCGATCCACGATTTGCGGCTCAGCAGTCGAGTACCTTAGTCACTAGACCACCACGGCGGGGCGTGATATGACAGTGGAGGACAGTGAAGGAAAAACTGGCACTTGCGTGTAGAAGCAAAAAGAATTAATAAATGAAATCTACCTGGAGAAAACCATGGCTATAGTTCTGAAGCATGAGAAGAGAACAAACAAATTAAACTGAAAAAAGAAGAACTTGAGGTAGGGAAGCAGCAAGATAGACAGGCCATGCGTCTCAGTTATTGGGTTTTCTGACATGAGCCAAGGCGTCTATCGCAGTCTACCAGAGACCTGAGCACCTGTTGTTCTTGGCTGTGGGTTGCTGGTGTGCGGCTGCTGCTGAAAAAATGTTCATGTACCCTTGGACAAGTGTAAGCAGTCGGGCTCTGTGCCAGAGCTAAGATTCTGCTGAATTCCAACAGAAACCTATTAGCCATGAGATCGAGCAAAGTCGTCGCCTGGTGGATTGCTCCGTGCGTCGTCTGCTAGACACGTCATGCTTCTATGTGCGCGTACGTCTTGCACATTTCCAAAGTGTGGTTTTTCCAGTCATGTCAGCGGGAGTGTAACTGTTTGTACATACGCCTATAATGACGTACGAGAGCATTTGGTCTTTCGGATGCTAATGCGTTGTAATAAGATCAGCGATTGCAACTTTTCCAAAGTGCCGTTTATTGTCGTTGTAGCCTCCAATCACCAGAATACTTCAGAGTGGGTTTCGCTTTCTATTTCAAGCATATTGCAAAATGGTCTGGGCATCCTCCCAAACATGAGGACTATTAAATAGTGTATATGTACAGCGTTCTCTACAGACTCGGTAGCAAAAAAAAAAACAGGCTCTAGGCCATACTTTTGGGGGCAGTTGGTAGGTGTACAGCTACAGCACTGTAGTTTATTGATCAAGCTAGGACCCTTTAGTTGTGTATATCTGGCCGTGGTACCGCTACATAGGAATGGTACTACCACATAAACAATGACACATCGGTACTTAAACTGTACTAAAAACAGAGTTACCGCGTGCAACCGTGTGCTTAAAGTTTAGAAACGCTTTAAGGAAGCCAGACCTTGGAAACAATGCAACGACATGCCTCATATATATAGCCGTGTAGCCTAATTGAAAATTTTATCTTTGTTACATTGTCTTCAGCGTTTATGTGGCATTGTTAGTGACTGACTGTAGGCAGTGGTAGTTTTTGTCAGAAAAAAATATGCTTGTCTCATTATTCAAGCTTTTGTTGTAGCACTGTCGTGCACGTAATCTATCGATGATAGCTTTCTGCTGAACTCTTATATAAGATTTCTATATTTTTACTGGTGCGAGAACATGTGCGTACATGTAGTAAATACAGTATAGTGTCAGCCCCTGAGTTCCTGAACGAAGCGTGGCTGCTGAGTATGTGTATATTAACCACTGAACGCCTATTCACACTTGCGCGGGTGCGGTGCTGGTTCCTATAGCCTGATCTCTGAGAGGTGGCCTGATATGACAAATACTCGAGCCGCTAGACACCAATGGCTACGGTAGCCTTTATTGGCTGCTGTGCTTCGCTTTAAGGCATCTTCTTCATCATTGACCTTGGTGAGATCAGCTCCTGTGTCATCCCTTCTCTCCGCACATAACAGTATGTTAGGAACAGAGTAGTGCACAACTGTCTAACATTAGGCATTGTTGCGACCAGGGTAATTAGGCGCTTAAAACAAGCTTTTGTAATGAGTTGGGGAAGTCGGACAACCCACACGTTACGCTATTCGCATTGTGTGACGCCTGGCTGTTTTTTTTGTTGAATTATAAAAAGCTTTATGACTCATACTGACGTGATTCTTTTTCCAATATTAAGCCTGCTTAAGGCAAGTCTGCGAACAAGTCCTAAGCACCGGCGTGGCTCAGTGGTGGAATACTGGGCTGGCGTGCAGTGGACCCGGGTTTGAGCCCAACTGTGTCCTTGTGATCTCGTAGCAGCTTTCGCTGTAAAAGGTGGAAAAAATAATGTTTCACTAAAACCATATAATTATCAACCGACAAGCCAACAACATTCTGAAAAACGATGACTAATTAGTTTCACTTCAGTCGCAAAGAGTAGCAAAATATTGTGCATGAGGAACTCTCTAGAATTTTCTATCACCAAAATACGCACAAAATCTTCCAAACTCTTGGTTGAAAAGAGATCCAATACTGACAGCCCATTCAGTTCTTTGAGAAAAAAACTGGCTAACTGAATGCTGCCGAAGAACCCTGCTCATTAACTATTGTTCTCAAAGAAACTTCAGGCTTGCTGTGTCTTTGCAGTGAGAAATAGGTTTGCGTGATTACCTTTGCATGTACTAATATATATATGCCAACCGAAGCAGTTCAAGGTTTTTGCACGTGTTACCCGCTTTAGTTTTCAAGTGAACGGCACTGCTTTTTTCAGAAGTAAAAATATAAAAATTGCCTTTTCTGCCTTCTCAGCATACGCCCTCACGCCTACAACAACAAACACGCCCAATTTATCTGCTTGAAGAAGGCAATCAATGGTCATTGTCTATGGAATACTTTACCACCAGACTGCCGCCAGAGCAAGGATTACACAGACCAGGTCGTGGAGTCTATGAAGAACACGTGGCGGGCTCTATAAAATATTGCTGTCTTGTCGGAATTCTCATGTAGCCCATACGGGCCGTTCAGTGAACGACCAAGCAATGGAACATGAGCTTCCACATAGAAATAACGGGAATACACATTTACCGGCGCAATGTCCAGCTTGCACGTGCTCACCGACTTTCAAAGAGATTAAGATTACTGGCAGGAGCACGCGGACTGGTAGAAACTTTTTAAATTTCTGCAAGAGGCAACGCTTGTGTTAGCGGCCCGTCGATTTTCTTATCAAGTGAGCGTAAGTTTCTCCGTGGTTTTTGTAAGCTGTTTGATAATTGACTCTGTGACCATGTGCATGTGACTACGTTTTTTCGGAAGTATATATTTGAAAGTTGAACGAATAATAAAGCTCAATTCAAAGGCCCCAGCCGCAATGGTCTAGTGGCTAAGGTACTCGGCATGATACGCAGGTCGTGGGATTGAATCCCGGTTGCGGCGGCTGCATTTTCGATTGAGGACGAAACTGTTGTAGGCCTTTGCGCTCAGATTTGGGTGGACGTTAAAGAATTCTAGGTGGTCATAATTTCCGAAGCCTCCACTTCGCCGTCAATAATAACCGTGAGGTGGTTTTTAGACCTTAAACTGCCACATATCAAATTCAGTTGAAAGATCGCGCTTGTCCCTGTCCAATGTTCTGTGTCATTATCTTCCATCAGCGCACACCAGGCTATCTTGAAAAATAACTTTCCACTTGCTTTTGTTCAGCTGCCAGCTTGCACTTACTACGTGATGCCAACAGACAAGAAACAAGTGTTCCTTTGCCGTAATGGCATCTGGGGCGCTGAATGATGCTCCCACCCCTACCGTACAAAGTGATAGAAGAGGATGACAAATGCCATAGCTCTGTGGTAGAGGATTGGACTCATCATTCGAAGGTCACACAATGCTTGCTTTCAATTAGAGTATTCCTTTCTTAGTCCGCATGCGGTACATGACTTGTCAAAATTGCGTCACTTGTTGTATCTGAAAAAAACTTTGAGGGACCATTAAGCTTCACAAATAAAAGCTGTAAGTGATAGCGGTAGTCTGTTCTTACTGCGTATTTCAAACACCAAGTGTATGAAATTTCTTCAAACTTGCTAAATACCCACTACGTGGCCTTAAGGGCGCAGTAACGTGTGTGCCTTTTAGTGGGTGACTGGCTTCAAACTATGAAGACCTTACGGTAATCCTAGATTCTGATCCTGAATAGCAATGTACGCTTCTACCACGCATTATTAGGGCAATTTTTCATGCATTTTGAAGCATGTACACTGGTCGCGTGCGTTTCTAAAGCATGAAATTTACTTTCGCTGCATTTATTTTACATCAAATTACTTTCACTGTATTTGCAAGAAACACGTGGCTGTGTGGTAGAACACCCGCTTGCAATGAAAACGACGTGGGTTTCATGCTTCACTTAGATAAGAATAATTTATTTAATTTATTTGCATTATCTAAATTTTTCAGTCACGAGAATGTTATTTTTTGCCCACGACGAATGACTTCGACATTTATGCGAAACAAGCTCTTAAACCCTATCACGTTAAATAGTGTATCTGTGACAAACTACAGATGCAGAGAGGATTTTGGCAGGCGTATATGAGATGTCTCTTGCTTCTGTTATCTTTCTTTTTTTTTTCAACTACTACCAGAGTACTGTTGCTACGTCTACTACAACTAAGACTACTAAGAATACTAAGACTACTACTACTAGAAAGACGCAAACAAAAGCGCCGTACTGCAACAGAAGATTTATTCGCAAATGAC